TCAGCGTTAAACAGGCATTCGGCCAATGCCCTTAATAACATGCTTTAACTCTAGGCCAGCCCTGAAGTGGTCTAGATGATTGCTGTAAGTTACTTCCACCCAAAATATTGTTGTATTCTAGATGTGTTCTCAGTTGTGAAACAGTCAACAAGGTGGCCTTAGAACCTCCTTATAAATCAATCACGTCATAAAAAAAATTTTAGTCTGTCAAAATTCATGACACAACACCTTCATCTTGTTTTCTGACTACAAAAGGCTCTGGAAACGGATGAATTACTGCTGCTGAGCAAAGATCAAGAGAACTTATCCATGAGATATGATCACAAACAGAGAAGCATACGAACTGCAGAAATGAACTGCCCATAAACAGGCAGTTTAACATGGACAAAAGTCAACCCACATGAAGAAAATACCTTAAGAAATCCACTTAACAATGCTTCTATACATGCCCAGAAAAAAGAAAACTTTACTACTTTACTCATAGCTGTCACTGATCAATCTCTTAAATTTTGATAAGAATTTTCACATAAATCAAAATTGCACAGAAGGAAATCCAAGTGAAGATATTTTAATCCCAGATTGGTTTTATCTAATTTTCTTTTCACTAACATTTTTATTATTTTCCTGTATACATAAAATGAAAGAGATGCAAGTTTTATTAGATTTGCTCATAATTACCCTTTTACAAATAAAATGCAACGACAGTGAACCAAATGAGGTTGCCTTTTTCCTACCTTAAGATCTGAAGAAACAGAACTGCCCCAAACAGTGTCTTTTGGCAAAACAGGACTTGTGCTTTTCTCTTCATCTGATGACATTCTGCACAAGTTAGTCTATAAAACAGTAGAAGCTGAACTTCATTTTTCAGTGCCAGTATGAATACTGTATTTTCATCAACATTCCCCTCAGAAAAAAGAGATTCTACTGTAGAAACTACATTAACACCCACGCTGTAGGCTAAACTGATTGTACATTTTCATTATATAATGCTAGGTAGGAAACTGCCTGACCCAATCCATGCTCAGAAGACTTCCACTGACTTAAAAAAGAAAAACAAACCTACAGTGGAAGACCCAAAAGCAAGAATATAAGTTTTCTTTTATTTTACATGGATTGAATAAGTTTAATACCTAATGCTTCATGATAAAAAAATTCACATCAATGGTAAATGAAATACATTGTTAGAGAAAAAAAAAACAAAACACCAAAACCCACAAATGAAACATATATCAAGAATAACTGAAGCCTTAATTCACAGATACATTTCTGTGTCAATCTCTCCTTTTTATTCACACTGTATTTTTTGGAGATTAACAGCTTATTTCACTACAAAATTCCAGGAGAGTGCTACAAGAATGACTCAGTTCCTGTATGACTTTTTTTTCCCCTTGAACTACCTGAAGTACTTCCCAAGCTGCAATGATGCCCTGAACACTCCAGCTCAATAACCTGAAGCCCTCACTTACTGGTCAACATCACTATCCCTCCACTTTCTCGACACTTCTTGCCTTATAGGCCCAGGAAGACACAGACATGGAAGAACAGGTAATGCTTTAGATTCTGATAATGTCAATCATTCTAGCATTTTCTAAGCAAAATAGTGAGGTATTCTTTGAACATTTGGGAAGCAGATGATGTAGAACTGAGAATAAACTTGAAGACTTTCTGAAAGATGTATGTACCTTTTAATCTACAGCAGCCTTGTAAAGGTCTTTCAGTGAAGAACTGAAGCTCTTGTGATGGGGCTTGGTAGGGTTCTATCTCTAGAACGTATGGGGAAAATCCTAGAATGTATGCGGAAAAAAAGAACTCTGAAGGGTATTTGGGGGTAACGGAAGAAACTACAGAATGAGTGGGAACTGAGTACTGAGCAATGTTATTTTGTTAATGAATGAATGGCAGAGTGATATAGTTGGCTGATGCACATGTAAAACGATCACCAGACACATTGAGCGGGGAGTTACCAGCCGAGAGTAAGTTTGGGAAGAGGACCACCATAAATAACCAGAAGAACTGACTGCTTGTAGAATGTAGCAAACAACCATGCAATGAAAATTTATTTTTAGAGAGACCTTTAAAACTATTAATTATTCTCAATTGTTTTTTAAACAGATGCATTTTCTGACATGTTATTTTTAGATTGCTAGTTGTGTTGTCGTTAAATTGAAAGGAATAGCCTCCTTAAGCATCATCATAATTTTTCAAAATGTCATAAAACTCACAACAGTTCTCTATAATGGAATACAGATGGAAATAGTCTTTCTGTTCTGTGAGTTATTCTTGAGGCTGATTCTTCCTAGCACCACAAAAGCTCTTTGCCACAGGTATCTGCACCATTCAGAACGGCAAGCTTGTTTCTGTGCTTAAGATAGACACTATAAAAATGGTATAAAGACAATTTTAAATGCTGAGATTTCCTAAAGTCCAAGGTTCAAAAGACATGATTACCATTGCTCTCCTTCCTGCTGAGCCCTAATATACTGACCATGGTTTTTATTACAAAATATGAAGCCTCGGGGAGGTTTACTAAATACTTTTATTGCTGTATATTGGTCTGTAGATGAAATACTACATAGATAAGAAATACTACCTTCCTCATCTCTTCCATTTTTATTGTCTGCTGCTTTGATAATTTCCATTTTCTCCTCCATCCCAGAAATTACTCCCTATTTGTTCCTTTGGCTTTGGCCTCTATACCTAATCAAGTAACTATACTAGCACCCCTTTAGTCAATATATTGTTTTAACAGCCAAAATACAGTTCTTCACTAATCTTAAAAAGTCAGCTTCAATTCCATATGCCTTTGCACTCATATAGTTTATCAAATTGTGGGTCCTGAATACCCTAAAAGTTGTGGAGGTATGAAAATGCGCATGCTTTGGGGGGTGAGGGAGGAATAGGGAGGCTAACATAGCACTTACAGGAATTAAAGCTGTATTTACAGCCATACAAACACCGTTCTCTTCCCTTCTCAGTCCACTTAAAAAAGTAGTAAACTGCAACAAATTCTCCAGAGGAACAGGAAGGCAAATGGACTTTCATGTGAAGAGAGATGAGTCCAAAGAAGCAGAAGAGAAAGGTTTCTTCAAAAAAAAAAAATAAATTGTCTAATAACTTAAAACCACTGTTGTGATTTCTATTTTCAGGTTTTTGAGATCATGCCCTGACACTCATTCTCATGTATCTAGTTCTCTGATTATCACTGAAACTACTCTTAAGTTTTGTGGTCTTCCGAAATTCAAAAGCCTCTTTCACTACAAGTGATGCTATCTCTCCACTCCACACCACTTTGTCTTCAAATCTGTAACTGCAGTTTACCTGTTTGACATAATCTTATAAAATTACTCACTGTCACCTCAAGCTCTCTGTATTTGCCTCCTCTTCCCATCCCTTTATGTTCGAGCTTTCCTCATGTTTATTTTGCCTGTATGTACCTCTAATGCTTGTGTCCAGAGCCTAACCTTGCAATTTGATTATTGCAACATTCCAGTGAAAATCACAGTAAACCTACAATTCTAAAAATCTGCTTAGGTACAGAACAACAGACTGGATTACTACAATAACTTAATACACTTCTTTTAATCCAGTGTTTACAGACATCATTGCCATGTGATCTCAGTGAACAAGCACTAAGTTTAAGAAAATACTAGGTAAGTTTCTAAGAGAGAAATTAAGATATTAACTAAGACACCATCTCTGAGTCAACAACATGATTTACTAGCTGAAAACCACTATATGGTCAGAGAGTGACAGGAGCATCTTTGTGCTTACTATATTGTTCTATTATTACTTGAGCATCTGCCAAAACACATATCTGGCTTCATTAAAGAAAAATTCCTGTTAACAGCAGTAGTTTCTTCCAAATCGTAAGTGTACATCTACAATGTTAAGACTGCTGCTCTTGGAAAAGGAGACAATTATAATGATCTTTGGCCTGACTCACCATGGCTGCTCCAATCCTTAAGTTTTGAATCACCTGAGATGTGCTCAGGATTTTTGCTTTTGGGTTTATGTTTGACTAGAAGTGATGCTTTTCAAATAATTTAACAGTGCCCTCAGATAAGAGGGCTCAACAGCTATTAAACAGAACTCCTCAATCTTCCAGCAGCCACAAGACATGCTATTTCCCTTTCACTGTATCCCCTTGCAAAGCAGCACTGCTCAAGTCCACATTTTTAAGCTTCTCACGGCAGCATCTCTATAACCACACTACAGCGACCACCGCTGCCATGTCAACTAACAGTCAGGACGCGGCAGTCCCGCAGACACCTGGGAGGCACAGTCAGGTAAGCACATGGGTGGAGGGGCAGGTGGGAGCACAGTTATTCAGGTGAATAGGACACCTTTTTACAGGGCTTTTAAGGCAACCAGCTCAACTACCCGGGGGCAGGAGGTGCCCACAGACTCCCTTAGTGAGTAGTGGCAAGCTCGGGCGGGGGATGAGAGGGGTTGCCAACGGGTACCCCGCCGGGCACGACCCCCATGTTCATGGGGCCGGTGCTGTGTCAGTCACGGCGCCCCCGGCCGCCCCCCACCGCCCCTCTCACCTGCGGGCACCCGCGGCCCCGGTCCGCCGACCGAGGCGGTTCAAACTACCGGACCGGAAGAAGCACGTCTTTGATAGGCTCAAGGCGCGCGTACAAACTATTCTCCGATTCGGCAGTTTGTCGGCAAAACAGCCAATTAAATTGCTCGCCCGGGGATGGGGGCGGGCCAGTCCCTCCCACCGCCGTCCTTCTTCCGCGCTCCGGCCGCTCCGCCTCCCGCCGCAGCTGCCTGTCAGCGGCTGCCGCTCGCTGATTGGCTGTCGCACTCCCGCGGCCGGTGCGCGGGCAGCCCCTGGCCGTTAGCGCAGGCGTGAGCCGTTGCGCGCGGGGCTGGTCGGTGTTGAGGTGCCGTTACGGGCGGGCGGAGGTGGCGGGTGTGCTGCGGCGCCCCCTCCCGAGCGCCATGGCTGTAGTCAATGGCCCTGGCAGTGCGGGGAGGCGGGGGGGAAAGGACCTTGCTAGCCTAAGACGTTTTTGCGGGAGCTGGTGTTACCCATGTTGGAGAATAGCCGCTCCAGGGGCGTTCCTGTGGAGAATGGAATGAAAACCCCAAAAAGTGGATTCTTTGGTGGAGCAACTTCATTCTTCAGTGTTTCCACCGATGCTAATTATGAAGCTAGGAAATCTCCCCGGGTACGAGCTTTAATTAACTTCTGTAGTGATGCTTCAGACGGAGCTCTGGGTTTACAGTTTCCACCATTTCTCTCCATTCCAGCCTTTCTATAAAGCCTTTCATATGTAGACACACTAAATGAATTCAGCTGTGCGTAACACCCCATCTGAGGCAAAGCTGCTTCATCAGCAGCTGGAGCAGCATCTTCAGTGTGATCCCAGAGAGAATTGCTTTTATTGATGTAGTCTCAGGGCTATAATAGAAATTCAACACTAAGTTTCAAAGATTTTCAATCAGGAATCAAGGAGTGGAGAGTCCTCCTGTTTGTTCTTTTTCATTTACCCTGATACCATCTCAATTGTTCTTTCTGTAATGCAAACTGTGACGTAGAAAATCTTTTCAAAATCATTTACAGAACTGAACTCTAGCTACAGCTGTACCATCTGGTATACTGGAGCCACAGATGTCCTGGTCAAGCTCCACAGTATGTAAATATACCTCATACTGCAGCAGCATTTTGTCTGATAGTATGAGAAAGTTGGCATAGATGTCAAATAACCTAACATCCACAAAATTGTAACTTATAATTTGCCTTTTATAAACCTTTACATGTTTGTCCTTCTCTGTCTTAGCTCCTATCTTAGCCAAGTGCATGCTCAGAACTGAACAATAAACAGGCATTTGGTCATTAATTTTACAAGCCTTGGCCTCAAAAACATCCTTGCTTTTAGCCTTGACCATAGACAAGTTAGAAACAACTACACCAAAACATAAACACAATGGGTTTTGTTGTCATAAACTGCATTTATTGTCTGAGACCTAGGATGGAACCTTCCATTTTGCAGAAGTGACAAGCCGTGATGCACATGGGCTTTATTAGACACTGGTTATGACTGAAAACAGGAAAGTGGATAGATTCAGTTTTGATCCCAGTGGGGTTTGAAGATGAGTTTCGTTCCAGGATACTGTGAGGTCTCCAGGCAGGGGATGGAGCTGTTAATCTGCAGAAAAGACTGTCTGGTCACTGTTCTTGTGGGGTATATTGCATTTGTTTAAGAATAGTTGTTGCTTTTAACTGCAGCATCTGATAAGGTCTGCATTATTTGATGAGCAAGAACTGCAGCTTGTGTGACTTCTCATTATTGTGCAGTCATTCTGTTTCATTAAGGCCTATGATGACACTTGCTGAGGTTAGTTTCCAGAAAAACAGAATGGAATGACTGCTTTTGCTGATTATAGTAAGGCTGGATGAGCAGATGTCTTTGGAGAAACATCTTTAATTGATTTGGTTGTAGGTATCTCTAATAGGGTCTTCAGTATCAGTTAGGGTTAAATTTGAGGTAAAAAAGAAGTGCATTTTGTAAGGTTTGCATGAATAGGAGGAGCACTGGCCTCACATCTTGTCCTGGCACCATTTCTTTTTTTTTTTTTTTTTTTGAACACTAAACTGTACTTGTCATGCAGCTGTAATCATATCTTGGTGACCAGTGCCTATACCAAAGCAAGGCATAAGCTATTTTCCGTTGCCACAGCTGACTGTTCTGCAAGGTCACAGCTGAAGGAGGAATTTATAATAAACCAGAGTATTCCTGGATAAAAGGAAGTAGAGTTTTTACATGAATTTGAAGGATTGGACCACCCCTAAATTCTAAAATAGAGGTAATGAGGAATAACACAGTAACTGGTCTGAGCTGGCCTCCATATGAAAGGCCACAAGGCGCAGTGACATTTGCAGTCATGAAACATGACAGGACATCTGTTTGCAGGACTTTCTCTACATATATCTCTAGTATTTAAGAAGCAGTATAGTTAAAAGTGAGAGAAAAGCTCCTCCAAGAGCAATTTTAGATCACTAAATCCAAACAATCTTTTCTGATCCATGTAACTACTGAAAATCAGCCTCCAAATTTAGGTACTTATTTGGTGTTTGAAATAAGGTCATGTGAATGTAGAACTACTGTAATGTTTTGAAATGCTTGGCCACATCTAACTTTTCAACAAGGCTTATGTCTGGTGCATGTAAGTGAAACAGGACACAAGTTCCTTGTCTTGGACATAGGGAGATGACGTACACATCTGTCATAAGCACATATGCTCTAAATTGAAGAGGTGTGAATTTGATTAGGTGGACTGTTCGTTAGATGAGGAATTGGCTGGATGGTTGCATCCAGAATGTAGTGATCAGTGGCTCAATGTCTGGATGAACACCACTGACAACTGGCACCCTCAGGGGTCTGTACTGTGACCAGTGCTGTTTAATATCTTCATCAATGGCATGGACAGTAGGATTGAATGTGCTGTCAGCAAGTTGATACCAAGCTGAGGGATGGGAAGCTATCCAGTGGGACTTGGGCAGGCTTGAGAGATGGCCCCACACAAACCTCGTGAGGTTCAGTGGGGCAAGTGCAGGGTCCTGCACCTGAGCTGGGGCAATGCTCGATATCAATACAGGCTGAGGGGATGAAGGGATTGAGAGTACCTCACAGGAAAAGCACTTGGGCGTACTAGTGGATGAACACAAGCCAGCAGTGTGCACTTGCAGCCCACAAGACCCATCCTATCTTGGGCTGCGTCCAAAGGAGCATGGCCAGCAGGGAGGGAGGTGATTCTGACTCTCTGCTCTGGTGAGACCCCACCTGGATACTGCAGCCAGCTCTGGAGTCCTCAGCACAGGACAGGCATGGACCTGATGGAGAGGGTCCAGAGGAGGGCCACAAAAATGATCAGGAGCACCTCTCCTGTGAGGAAAGGCTGAGAGAGTTGGGGTTGTTCAGCAAGAAGAAGCTAAGATACGGGTAGATCCTATTGTGGCTTTTCAATTCTTAAAAGGGGCCTATGAGAAAGATGGGGAGAGATTTTTTAGCAGGACTTGTGATACGACTGAGGGTTTTAAACTAAAAGAGGGGATTCAGGCTGGATGTGAGGAAGAAATTCTTTACAGCGAGGGTGGTAAAATACTGGCACAGGTTGCCCAGGGAGGTGGTGGCTGCACCATCCCTGGAGGCATTCAAGGCCAGGTGGATGTAGTTCTGGGCAACCTGATCTAGTTCAAGATGTCCCTGCTCATTGCAGGGAGTTGGACTAGATGACCTTTGGAGGTCCCTTCCAGCACCAACTGGTCTATGATTCTATGATCATCTGTTAATGCTAATTTGTATTGCACACTGCTGGTGTAAAAAATCTGGGAAATCTTTCTGCATAAAATAGTTTTTTAAATACATGGCTGCCTTTGGTACATAAGCCTTTAAATATGTGTTTTCATTCTTATCTCTTTGGGGAAATGCAGACATTTGAAAATTGAAGAAGATTGCAATGGGTACTCAAACCAGTCTGTGATGCAAACATCTACTGCTACTTTGTAATTAAGCGCCTAAAAAGCAAAGGAGATCAAATGGTATAAGGCTGATTACTAGTACAAAGAGGTAATTGTAGATACAGAGCAATGAAATGACAGTAATTACCCGACTCCCACACTGTGGGTATTATGGAGTTATCTGATAAAAAATTCTGTGGAAACTTTCTGATTTTGAATTGTATCTCAAAAATACCAGTAATCTTTAATGTTGGATTCTATAGAACAGTAGAACATACAATTATTTTCACAGGGGGAAGGAGATTTTCCCATGCTTTTATGATCACATATGTTCATATGCTGCTCTAGCCAAGCAAATGCCACAGCAGTGATTGGAGCCAGGCAAAGGCTGGTACTGTCATGTTTTTTTTGCAGGAAATACGGAAAAGGGAAGCAGGAGGAAGGAGGTTGAACGGATATAACAGCGTTAGCACATCTAATTACAAAAGGTCATCTTTGTTCTTTGAAACGGTTTTTGAAGGACTCAAAATACAAAGTAAACATAGTCTAGCTTACATGAAACATTAATGAATTTTTAGTGTTATCTGTAGTTCTGTAGCTTGTAGAAAGACCTTTTCAATGTTGTGTTTTCTGTTTTTTCTCAGTATCTGTTGTGATTACTGTGATGGAAAAGCAGATGCTTTGTAGTAAGTTATGTGTGGATACTGGACTGATTACCGTTTGACTCTGCCAGGTTAAGTATTTGTCTGTTTACTGTGTGACAAGGTCTGTCTCCTCACGTGCAGTGTTAGATGCAGCTATGGCCTCTAGGTGGATCTGTGCCTTGTACGGTAGAGTATCACCATTTCTCTTCCGCTCCACATGTCTCTGACAGAAGCATTGAGCGTCTGAGGTGAAGGCACAAGGCACCAATCTGTGTCTTTTGGGACTTCACAGTCAAAGGACTGTCATGTTATGCCTACTGCCTTGTGCAGTGGGGCCTTTGTAATTGCATGATCCAGGACCATTCTCTGCCCATCATGTGAACTGAAATATTAGATATAGCTGATTGTCAGATCACCCGTTTCAAGACTCACATTAAAATTTTTTGTTCCAACTGAAAGAAACATTTTTCAAAACACCAGTATTTTGTATACAATTGAAATCCTAATTTTAGACAAAAAAAAAAAAAAAGTCTAACGTTACTGCACATGAGCGCTGTGGCAGTGAAGTTTGATATATTTTGGAACCTTCCAGCATTCTTTTCTTGTGATGATGATAGTAGTAACAATAATATCCTCTGAATATTGAACGCCTCAGTGCAAAAGGGCCCTATTTTCTAATATCCCTCTCCTCCATTGTAGAATTGGTTTTCTGACTATGTCATTTGTTATATAATGGTTAGTGTGTATATCAAGTATATATCCTTTTCAGAGAAAACATGTGAATTAGAATCAGTATTGAGAGATTGAAAATAGTCTGGAGTCTAGTATCTGCTATGTCTGAAAAGACATTCTCCCATTTTTTTCCACAGACACATCAGCTGATAGCTTGACAGACACTTACAAGACAGTGTTGATGAGCCTGTACATGATACATGCCTACTGAATGTATTCATATATACTTAAAAGGTTCTCCTAGGGCATCTGGATTTTTTCACTCAAGTAAGCTTTTCCGTGTAATGGTCAGTCTTTTCCCCATGAGTAACAACCTATCATGACTAAAGTTATGAATAGATTTTACATTAATTGCAAGAAAGGTTTTTCTACCATAATGACTTACTGGCATTTTAGATAAAGATTTTCAGTTGCATGGAAAGAAGTGCTTCTTTACAGTGCACTGAATAATGATATATTCTCCCGTTCTTCTATGTAGAACACTTAAAAGCAATACATTGTTTATATATTTTAAATAATCATAATAATTTAATAATTACCAGAATAATTTCTGTTACAAACTTATGAATTGGGAAAAAATATATATAATAAAAAAAAAAACAACAACAGAAACCACGAAAAAAACCCCAACCAACCAACAAACAAACCCAACCCCCCAAAAAAATCCCAAACCCCAGTTTGATAATGTTTCACAATGTCATGGATACTCTGCATAAGCCAAACCAGCATTGTAAGACACGGAGTCATGACTATATTCCTGCTATAAGAAACATTCTTGAACTGTCCAAAAACATCTGTCAGCAATTTTGCCAAAAAGCACCTGGAATATTTTTGTAGAAATGCTAACTTCTCCTTTTAAACTGTAGAGAAACGGTGATCCTCTTCTCACAGGAAATCAAAAGATCAGTGTCCCCAGAGACCTTTCAGTGTCAGGGTGCACATGTACAACATATTTGTGATGACGTATTCTGCTGCAGGGGCATGAGGACACCACTGTGCTATAGGGTATTGAATGACTATAAAATGCACATCGACTTCTTTCAAGACTGGCATTACGGATGCCCATAAATCTGCTACTGAAAATCACATCTGAAGAATGAATATTGGTTTTGTAATAGTTCCTCACAGCAGCATATAGAATAGCGTATTTTAAAGAAAGGGAAAACCATATTTCTCGTATGATTTTATAAAGGAGTATATAGAAAGCAACTGGCAGCAAGTAAAACCATTTTTTTTGGAAATAAGGAAAAGGTTTTCCAAGCTTAACTATATTCACAATCTGATACTAAGGAAAACACTATCTTTATAATTAGCAATTGTGAGCTTATTGCTGTCTTTAAAAAAATCTGTGCACTGTACTTGCTTTACCACTTTTAAGAGGTCCTTTGCACAAAGGAGTACTGGGCAGGTAATTTGAACAAGGTTTCCACTATAAAACACAGATCTGTTTGTTAAATTATGTGCAAGAAAAGCTTGAAATGATTAATGTGAGGCAGACTTTCATCCTCCCTCTAAAAGCAGCCCACTTACATGAGTGATTGTGTAACAGTCATAAAATTTCAGCATCTCTTCAGCATCTTATGGCAGGATCAACATGTTGATTGTTGACAACTGTAAACATGTATATTTGCATTCGTGCTTGAATGCTTCCAGCTCCTTTGCGCTCTCTCCCCGTTCTGAGGCCAAGTTCTGCAGTCCCACTTCTTGCCTGCTCCGCATCATGACAGTTTTTTTCACCAGAGCGGATTTCTTTGCAAGACGTGAGTCAGCAAGGAATGTAGCTGACGGCATTGCCGGGATGGGTCACGCAGAGATGTGCCTCTGCTGTGACGCAGCCTTTGCTTACACAGGAGTCAAGCCAGGGTTTTACATCAACTCTACAGCAGGTGGCAACGTATCACGCTGCTCTGCTCGTGAACTGTGTTAAAAGAAACAAACGCCTATAGTGTGCAGCCGTCTGTAGAATTCAGCGAGTAGAGGAAGGAGAAAGCAGCTTTAGATGTTGAATCATTTGTTCATTGCCTGATTCCCCGGGTACTTTTTTCAGCTTTAAAAAAGCATTGCTATATTAAAAAGCCCTGAAAACTCTCCAGTCAGATTGAGATGTTCCACAGGAGGTATCGTGACATTCAGCTGTTGGATAGCTCTCTGGACATACCCCAAGATTCTGTGTGTACTAGGATGAAAATATATTAGGTTGGAGCTTGAGCTTACATTGCTGAAGATGTACAGAACCATCTCTTGTCACTGTGCTTGCTAGGTTGAGAATGTGGCAAATGTCACTTAGTTTAGTTCCTGTCCCTTAGATCACAGCACAGATTATGACCAAGTGTTTTAGATATCTTTTAAAGTTGTGAGATTTTCTAGAATTTGAGGCTTAGTGGAAACTTTTGCTCTTTTGACAGTCAGATTCTATACTGATAAAAACGACCATTCTTGATTAGTCTTAGAATCATGAATGTAGTAGCAATATCCTGGCTCTGCTACACCTTTTCATTTTGGAAACCAGATTAAGTTTTTCTGGAACTTGTATCATTATTTATACTACATTGTATAGTATTAATGTTGGCAAAGATCTATGGAATCCCATCAATTGAAAGGAAGAAAGTAATTTAATTAGACAGTTTAAGAGTGTACACTAAAGTTACCTTTTTAATTTTGGATTTTAATTTTGGATTATTGACATTCAAAATATATAATGACAGTTTTTCCTTCTAATTTTCTTTAACCTAGCTAAAAAGAAGTTATCTCTGCTAATAAAGAAAGATTCCTAATCTGGGAAGGACTAGCACCCCCAATTCAGACTGTAATAAAAGTTTGGTTGCTATTAAAATGCCTTTCAAACAAGTGTTCAGAAAGGGTGTCTGTCTGTGTATGTCTGTGGCAGTTAGGCTGAAATGTTTTGCTCGGTATTCATCCTGCTAACTTGAGGCCTTTTTATTGCAGACATCTTTAAGGCTATTCATTCTGGATTCCACTTATAGGTGCTTAAGGGGCATCTGAGATAGCCTAGTCTGAAAAGTCTTTCAGTCTTTTGTACTTAGCACAGAAACAAGTGCCTGCAGGGTTCAGCTGATCTCATACATTTCTAAAAGGTCAGATGAATCATACCACAAAAGTGCTTATCTTTCTGTTGTGACTATAAAGAGGGTCTAGACAACTAGTTCATATAGCTACATTTTAGACATTTGCATTTGCTTAGATGATTCCTATCTTTTGAATTTAATTGCACTTCAAATGGAACTACAGACTCTCAGAGGATTTGATTATTAAACCCTAGAATTTGTTGGATTGACACCCAGATACTGCAAGCCTGGCTTATATATTGATCTGAGTAATTCTAATTCATATTTGGAGTAAGTTGACATGTCTCCCACTGCATCAGGTGAGAGATGAATCTGATAAGGCCTGTCTAACTGTATTAACATAATAAAAACAGTAAAAGCAGTGTAAGGGAAGAGTCTTTGTTAAATGTTTAAATGGCTTATTCTGTGAGGTTTGCACAACAAATATAAGAATCAAAACGTAGCTGTGGTTAAATAAAAGTTTGTGAATTATGTAAAATGCAGATAACAAGTAAACTGGCAAATGAGACATGGAAGACAGTATTATAAAAGAGAATACGAAGATGAAGTGTATGTGAAAGAAATGATATAGGCAAAATCAAATCCATGAATGTGAACTGAAATTAAGGGAATAAAAGTGCTTATTGAAATTTTTGCAGCCCTATGTGAAAGAAGACAAGAGGACAGGGAGGAAGGTAGGGGCATAGGTGTAGATAAGTGACAGCATTTTAGGTAATACAGCAAAAGCTTTGGCATTGGGGTGAAGTCAAACAGAAACAGTGACAGGGTGGAATGTAAGCTTGTTCAGAACTACTTTAAATTAATTGATTTATCAGCAAAGTCAGAGGCTACTGTTCTGGAAATTGTGCAAGAATAGCTGGGTTTTAATTATTAATTTTTGGAGACCATATGGTACCACGTGCAAAATTTTCTTCTTTAAAGGTGACTAGCACTGCAGGGTAAAATAAACACTGCCTAGCACTCACAGACCATCTCTGATTATCTTTACAAGATGACAGAGACAGTGATTGGAGGTTGAGGTGGCAAATGTGTCTAAATACAATTTTATCTAAAATGTCTCACGATGCATACAAAAACACCCACAACTTTGCACATAATATGTTGGATTTTGAGCTGTCTGTCTTCTTTCAGGAACAAGGTCTTGAGTTTAAAAGAGATTTTAGAAGACATGAGTTTGGTACTCAACCATTGTTACCCCTTCCTCTTAAAAAAGCTACAGTCAAACTGGAAGAAAAGAAAGGTAAAAAGAGTAACCAAAATGTGAAGTGGCTATAAATAAGAACAATTAGGCAAACCAGAGTTCTTCAGCCTAGAGAAAAAAAAAAATTCTATAGAAAGGTAATTGAGGACTAAAAACCTCCAAGTTGAATGAAGATGGTGAATTAGGATTTCTTATTTACTCTCTCTTCCAATGAAAAAGCTGGAGAGCACCAGTTGAAGCTAACTGAAACTTCACTCAATGCAAGCAAGAAGATTTGGGTCTTCATCTTGTTTTAGCATCTGTAATATCTTTTGGAAGAAGCTCCACAAATTCCATCAAATTTTACATACCTTCAGGAGAAGAGTGGACAAGTTCATGAAAGGAAAATCCACCAATACCTATTGAATACAAAGACATTATCTCTGATTGAGGAAGTCCCAATGTTGTGTATTTGTGGAGGTTAGGAGATCACTAGGGAGAAATCCCACTATGTGCCATATTGTTCTCTTTTTACTTTGGGTTCTCTTTTGGAGACAAGATGCTAAGCTTGATGAATCACTAGCTTTGCTTTGACTTAGAATCACATTTATGTTAGAAACAGTGCTCATTGTAAAGAACAATGGATTGATTGTGTTAAAATAGATTTATAACAGAAGTTTATAATTTATATTGAGGTTTTTTTTTCAGATAAGTGTATGAAATGCATCAGATTTCATTTAAGGTAGAGTGAATGCTTTATCTGAGTGTGAATTACAGTTGTTGCTACTCTCTTTTCAAGAGTGTCCTTAAAAAAAAAAAAAAGCTTTTCCAATATGTTAGTCCTGTAGCAAAAACCATGAAGAAGTGGTGTATGTGCCATCCCTGGAAGTGTTTAAGGCTAGGTTGGAGAGAGCCTTAGGCAACATGGTCTAGTGTGCAGTGTCCCTGCTCATGGCAGGTGGGTTGGAACTAGATAATCTTAAGGTGCTTTCCAACCTGAAATATTCTATGATTCTGTGATTCTATGATTCCGTGTTTCTATGGTAAGAGTATTAATGACAAAGGGGCAGGTTACTTTTAATTCTGCTATCTTCTGGTTTTCTTCCTCAAACATATATATTTTGCTTTTGTTTTGTATTTAGTTTGCTAGGTTTTGTATAATTTGCTATCTCTGACTTGCTTTAGGTGAGGAGCAAGTGTGGTTGTGCCAAACCCAAGAGCATTCACTTACTGTTTCCCATGTTCACCAGTGCGTTTCTTTTCTGTTTATGGAATAGCCTGTCTACTCAGTAGTACGAAATCTGTGGTAAGTGCTGCAATCACTCACATTTTCCTGCTTCCCTTCTTCAGGATTGCAGATTACACACTTTCCAACATTTTATATGGCTACAGATTACTCTTCAATTTGCAGGAAAGAACAGCACACCAATAAGAAATTTGACCTGGAAGAAGAAAGGAAAAAAACAGATGTTTGTTTTGATGGTGTCATGGCTTGACAGGAAAAAGACACCTCATCCATGTAATTAGAATTTTAACAGGATTTTTGAATGTGTGAACTTCAAAATAGCTTGTGTTACCTGCCCTACAGTCTTCTATCTGGTATGATGTGAAAATCAGAAGTGACATACAGAAATCAGCATTCAGTTGAAGGTGAACTGCTTATATTAGATTACATATATCTATTAATATAAATACAATAATGTAGAACACCTTTAAAAATACTAGATTTCTCTACTATCAAGCTGATGCCACTAAAGCCTATGTGGGAATTACTTTTTGCAGTACTTGGAAACATACCACCCATCTGTAGGCAGGCATAAAGTTCTCCCAGCTTTCTTTTCCATTATATAATTAACCAGTACTCAAAGTTACGTTGAAAAAGAGTTTTTTTCAGCAGGCAGCCTGCAAAAATAGCATATCAAGAGTCTTTGTCAAAGTGTGCATAGTCATCAGTTACTGAAAAGTTGTAGTAGGAAAAAGACCATTAAAGAATGCCTCAAATGGATGAGCTCTTGTGTTGAGTAAGTCTTACTGTGTTGAAATAGAGGTATTAGTTCCAGTAATGTATCTGACCAGTACAGTATAGGTATGTGTTAATGCTATTCTTTTTTGGGAATACAAGTTGACTTTGATGGGTAGTAGCTGGAGGCAGGAGGAAAAAGTGAAGGAGATGCAGCAACTAACCAAACCTCTCCATTTAAAGGAGAAAAAAAAAAACAGGTGCTCCATTTTTTTGATGCTTCCAATTTAGAAGACGTTGTAAACATTTGGTATGAGATTCGCTTGCATAAATTTAGCTATACAATTCAAACTTACATCTGAACTAGAAGTCAAAAATCCCTTTTCTGTCAGTGGAGAGAAACATACATGTCTAATATGTGATTTGTTTCATCCTAAAGCAGAAATCTAAAACCTGTTACAGGACTCAGGTGACGAGTTCAGATGCAAACATCTAAAGTTAAGTGGCAAGTATTCCATTCTTTATTGGTGTAAGGGTCCCCCTAATTGTGCTGTTGTGCAGGACATGGAAGATGAGTAGGAAGAAAAGTTTCTTTTTCAGATTTGAGTTCTGGAGACACAATGTTTGTGATTTTGTTTTTATGAGAATGTTACATTGGGAGATTGATCACTATAGCTTCTTTTGCTTAATGCAGTCATAGTTGCATGTAGACTCTTGGAAGGGGGAGACAGCCTGAAAAGAAGTATAAAAAATTGCTCTGATGGTGTCAAAACCTCTGCCTAAGCAAGAAGCGTCCTTCCTGTTGGACTCAGTCTGTATCCAGCTAGTGAACTGTCAATACAGGCTGCAATAATAAACACCCACACTTGTGATGTGCATATGTGAAGTTGTGTAGTGCTTTTGCACTGGTGTGATTCAGGGGCCTATAAGGAGCTGCACAGATGCATGGAAAGCTACAGCACCCAAATCTCTAGCAGGAGATGTGTAAAGAGGGGAACGAAAGCTCCCAGATGAGGGGTGTGTGCTTGTAAATACTCACAGGTCATGTGACAAAGATGTGCACATGTAACTGTGTTCATTTGTATGTGATTAGAGCTTTTTGGGAGGGTTGTTGTAGGAGGTTGTTTTTGTATGTGTTTATTATAAGCATTTCATATGCATTACTATCGTGGTTTATTAACATTTTGTATGCATCTAATGTTGTGGTTCACTTGTATTGCTGAATCTTGAATATACAGCTCACTGATTGCTGGTTAATTACATGTTGTTAATAAATTGATTAAATTTTGATTTTGATGTAAACTGAGCAGTTTTTCCCTGTGATAATATATCATGTTTAGCAGAAGAACACTGAAGATACTGGTACCGCTGCTATGCTGTAAGCGCAGCTGTGGAGTACAGCACCACAAAAGAGAAAACAGTTTTTTGTGGTAGAGTAATAGCGAAGTTAATAGCTATGTGATAAAGAAGTTATCGGTTTATGGTAAGATCTTACCAGTTTCTGAAATCCCTACCACTGAAACTTTTAAATTTTTGCCTATAGATACAATGACAATATCAATAAAGGTCTTCATTTTGTATCAGTTAAATCCACGTAAAACTAGGAGCTTGATTAAGAAACATAATTCAGGAAAGAATGATCACAATTCATTCATTCTGACTTGAGTGAAAAGGGAAGTAGAACAAGCATTACTGATGGTAATTAATAACACACCAAGAACATTTTCTGTGAAACACTATGTAAAGTGCTGCATTCTAGAGTTTTATGATGAACAGGTTCCTCAAAGACAGTCTTGATCAAAACCTTGGAAATAAAAGAGATAACTGAGTAATATTTGGAACCAATTTTCCTTTAGTTAGATGACATAGTTAAGATATGTTTCAGTATTTCTAACAATTTCTAGAGGTTGTATCAAGTTTATAGGCTTTAGTTTTTAAAATATTACAATTTTAACTGATTAAAGCTTTAAACTTCCCCATTTGAGATACTATGTGTGAATATATTTTTATCTTAAAGGGTTTTGTTAAAAAGCCCCAAAGTTATGTGTACTGTAAGCCAAGACTGTGATCTGTGTTGAGACTTTTAACATACTTTGAGGAAATCAGGCATTGTCTTGGTGGTGGAGTGCAGCTGCACAATCCTTGAATAGTTAATTTTTTGTCATTAAGACATCATTTGCAAGATTTCATCTTAATTATCTTCTTCATGTTGCCTGATACTGCAGTTTTATCTTTTCAGTTCTTACAAAGATACTGGTGTGTCTTGAAAAGAAAATTTTTCTTTACTTCTAAAGGGAGCAATTGAAATGTGATATTAAGTAGATTGCATAAAGACTCTAACTAACTGGTGGCCTTGGTAACCCTTAAGAAAACTCACATTGTTATTCAAAAAGTAGTTTTTTGTTCTTTTTTTCCAGTCACTCAGGTGTAACATTGCATCAGTGCAGAATAATTAAGTATTATAATCACTGGTATTATACCGCAAGAATGTATGATTTCTAGATGCTCTCAGAGTCCTGTTTGGATTTCTCTGTACTGAATGCAGATTGGACATCAGATTGTCAGCTCTGTAGCTCATTTTATTCCTTGTATCTAAGGGACAATTTTAAATATAGAAGTCTTTGTATGTTATTGTATAATCAGAGAGAGGAGTTTTGGCTAGCCTTGCAGTGACATGGACTTCTCAATTTTCTCTATGTTATAATGACTATATATGTTTCTAACATCAGGTAGGTGTGGTTCTCTTTTTGTGTACATAGAAATCAGGATTTCCCAAGATATTCCAGCCTATCCATGCTAATATTTGTTAAAGAGAAGGATCAAATTTTCCTGACAGAGAAAATAATTGGCATTAAGGAGTTCTGGGTTGTTGCTTGATATCCTAATGTTTGTGCAACACTTTGAAATCTTGCTAGAAAATACATGTACAGCAAAATATCCCTATTAGTTAGAAAATCATTATGCATAATGAATTATCAGATCCAACATACTTTTTAATCTATTGTCTTTTTATTTACTCTTTCTACATTCAGGTCATGAACACCAATCAATGAGACCAGCAGCTCAACAGAATGAGAAATGGTACATTTAAAAGGAGAACTTAGTGAAACCAAGCAAATACCTAATTCTGCTCATGACTGGGAAAGCTACAAGGTACATGGATTCTTAATTGCTGACTTTGAGAGGCATTAACTGTTCTGTTCTTTTTCTAAGCTCACGTAGAAAGCTACATTTCTAATGCCTTAGCGTGGATCCTGTGTTACAATTTGTTTGACTAATTGATTTATTACTATAGTACGTCTTCCAAAAGCCACATTTTTTCCTATTTTACTAATGTCTGGTAGTTGCTTACCTTAACAGAGCAGTGCTTATGTAGTTAATTTCACCTCTAGAAAAGACTTCTGTAGTGCCAGACCATCTCCAGAATATTCTGATACAGGCTCTCCCAGTAGACAGTGCTAATGTGATGGTTATACTTGTCAGGTTTATTATGATTATTCAGTTTATTGAGGTTTTGGGTTTTTGGTTTTTGTTGGGTTTTCTTTGGTTTGGTTTGGTTTTGGTTTTGGTTTTTCTTGAGGTTACATGAATTTTAGCATTCATATGAAGTGAATCTTTTTTCATCTTTTTGTCTGATCCCAATTTTCTTGGCATTATACAACACATATTATTAAAATCTCTTCAAGTTTGGTCATTCGGTTGTGTTGCAGATTTAGCATGTGTCCTCCCCTGTCTGCATAAATTGATAGCACTGTGAATTCTCTTTTGGATTTCATAATATGCACACAAATACAGATCCTCTGAATGTTAGTGTAGTTTACTTTGTGTTGTCATCTTTCCCAAAATAGCTAATATGTAAGCACCTGAAAATGCGGTACTGGGAGGAATAAAGCTTAAAATTTTTAACATTTTATTTGATAGCCTATGTAATAACTTGTTTGTTTACCAATTCATTTCATATAATCTTGCATACCAACCAATTTAGGATTTTGGGACCACTTTTGTGGTTAGGATTTCTGTGTACTTTGAGGATATTTTTGAAGGCAGCTTTTCTTGAGGAGGTATGTAAAACATCAAATCAATTTTTCCAGCACACATGTTGTTACATATTTTGTAAAAGGAAAAAAGTGAATGAAGAAAGGGAGTGATGATGGCACAGGAAATGATGCAGTGATAAAAATACAAGCCTGGTCAAGACGAACTTTTGAGGTAGCCTTGTATTCCTACAACTGACTGGTTTTGATCATGGTTTAGTATTCAAATATTGTTTAATGATGAAGTAGTTAAATACCATTCACCAGGACTGTTGTTGGGCTTTAAGAAACTAAGAAATTGAAATGTAGAGAATTGCAATGTTGCAATTTTCAAATCAGCTGTTAATTTTGCATGTGGCGATTTGGACATGGTGACTACAAGATAAGCAAGAAAGAATTGGATGAAAGATCCTCCTTTGAGGATAGGACTTCATGATGTTTTTCTTCAAAAGTGCTGAATGCTCAGGTTCTTTCAAAAGCAGTAGAAGCTGCAGGTGTTCACTACACATGGAACTGAACAGTACTTGTGAACTTGCTTGTCAGCTAGTATTATTGGATGCTTGGAAAAGTTTACTGGTCACAGGCATTCTCTTCCTTCACTTGTGGAGAATAGCCACTCTTTAGCTTTACAAATACCTAGTCATAAAGTCTTTTGTGATTGAACTGTAACTTCCAGAGCTTGGCCAGTAAGATTCTTAGGGATCTCAATGCTTTTCATCAGGAGCAAGGTTAGCTAGCCCAGTGTCATTCAGCCTAATAATTTTTTTAGTTCCTGTTAGCTTCTTCGATTGTGAGCCAAATCTCTGCTGATATAAATACCTGTAGTGGAGCAACTGGCTGTGGGAATAGCCAGCAACATATATCTGTGTGTGACAATGAACAGCAACTGGCTGTGACAAGACTCAGACCTGGGATTCTTTTTTTCTTCTAAACAGATGTCATTGCTGGGTACTTTTTAATTGATTCAGTCCAATTCAACAGAAGAATAGTGGAAAAAGGTGCTTTCAGACCCGAAGTCTTGGATATAAAAAGACAGTTATACTTTGAGGTAATGACACATGGAATTAAGATGACAAATTATACAGCATGAATGTGGGTAACACCATTTTTGCAGAAATCTGGAATATTTGTACAGCAGAGCCAGGGAATGCTCTTCAGAAGTCCTCAGAAATGTCAGCCCAGAAAGCAGTTTCTAACTTTTATGTCTCTGCTGCTCTTTTTTACAGCTTAACTTCTTGGCATGGTATTTCCATTTTTCCTAGTTACTTAAAGATTCAAACTTTCTTAAAAATTCAAACATGAGTTGTGGTCTCAAGTCATATGCCACTGGGAAGGCTGAGTGAACTGCTTTAACCAAAAGGTCTGATGATAATGGAACCCTTAGTTCATGAAGCCTATCTTCTGTTTAGCACAGAGAAAATACAGATAGTTTTCTCCTCATATTAGGTATTGTAAAGTTAAGGGCCTGGACTCACATAAGTGTTGATTTGACTGGGTATATGGATTGTAAAAGTCTAGGGTTAATTTGTGTCTTCAGTTGCTTTAATATCTTATAACTGAGATTGTTTAAATTTAAATTAATTGACTATTTTTCATTGAAAAGCATACAAATAAATATATTATTTTTAACTTTCTGTTTATCCAGACTCTTTTCTTACAGCAATTTCAGCATTGTCCTCATGACCATGCTCACAAGCTATGCAGGAACCAGACTACAAATACTAGTTCAGTTTTGAAAGCCCAGTGGGATCTGTGTGTCCAGACAACCCAGTGGCTTAACACACTGCCAGTTCAGGTATGCATTTTCTTATTAGCGTTAATGTTTCTCTCCCTAAGTGAGACTCTGAGAGCCTCACTAAAAGTAGGCTAATGCCTGTATGTGAGCTGAAGTGTGCTCTCAGTTGAGATCTGCAGAAGAAAAGGCCAAATCATGCCTGCATTCCCTAAAGCCACTCTCTGCCCTGCTGGAAGTCAGTAGAATTAAGCTGGCACTTGGATGTTCCAGAGATTACCTGACAGAAATGTGAAAAGGAAAAAACCAAATGAAGTTAGGATGTCTGTACACTGACTGCAATTCTTTCTAATATCCTCTTTCTTCCATTTTTGATAGGGAGAAAGTGACTTGGAAGTTAGTGATGTAACATATCTGTGAGCCATTATCAATCTCACTGGGAAGATCTGAGAGTTCTTTTCCCTTATCTTGTAAAGAAGTGCATCATAGTAGTTAGATAGGAAACAAAAACCGGTAGGCAATCATCCCTTGTAGAGCAAAAAAACACTGAAGAGGTTATAAAACAAAAGTAGACATAGCTACTGACTGCTGAGGTAGTTTATCCTATATATTCAGTTTTTTCCAACTTTGGAAGTAATAAAATGTTACATTTAAATTGTTGACATTAAATAAGTTTTGAAATAAATCTGGCAAAGAAACGTGTTCTTGACTTCATTTTGTCCTGTGGAGACAGCTAAAATCTTTCAGGGAAGCCCTTCTGAGATTCCAGCCCTAGGGATGTAAGATGTTTGGCACCACAGCCAAAGGTAATGAACTGAAAACACAAATAAATAATGTTGTTAAAGAAAACTGTGCAGCTGTGATACCCCTGAGACACTGCCTCAGGGAATGTAATCCTCTCTTGAAAAATTAGGGAATACTGCAGTACTTTCAGGTCTTTTAACAAACGCAGTTGACCATAAGATGGTGCAGTACAGGACATCTCAAGGATTTTTGGTTGTGAGCAGTGATTCTAACTATTGGATTTCTTCCTAGAAGTGAAGGAACTGGACTTGATGACTTTACTGAGGTTAATTGCCTTTCATGGTGGATTGTTAGAATTTGACCTACAAAAACTATTCTTCTAAAAATATATGAAAATAAGAGGCATTATGTAAATAATGGAATAAAAGGAGACCTCTACGTAAATGTAAGAAGGAAGGAGATTAAATAATCATTGATCTTAGAAGCATCAATATAAGCAAGAAAAGACTAGACAAACCAAACCAGAAAGTAAATAAGAGAGGAAAAAAAGGATATGGAAATGCAGTAGTTTTATTGCTGTTTTGTATTACCTAACACAGCTTTTCATTTTCTTTTATACTGGAAGTACTGTGTGTTGATAGCATTTTAATAAAAGTTGTTCCTTTTTGGTTTTATGGAGAAATAGAGTAGATTTTTCTGTAATTAAAAACAGCTGCCACAGAACTGTGCTTAAGAGATGGGATTGGGGTTCTGAGAAATATGTGATGATAAGTGAGATAACATTCATAAGGAGGAGAACTTAGTAGAAGCTTTGATTGAGGTGAGACATACTCTCAATATGTGTATCTTACACCAATTTTGACATTGCCACTCTAGAAAATAAATCTGACCCAGTTTGGGGAGTATGTGGAGCCTTACAGAGCTGCAATGACTGGTCATGAGTGGTGTAACACTGTAAGTTGAGGAAAGAGTCATGTGAAGTCACTGCAGTGGTACGGGTCCACCAATGCCTTTCCCCTTCTCTCTCCAAGGGCTGTGCCCCAATTCCACCCACATGGCTAAGGGCAGAAACTGTTAGAAACCTTGTAATACGTGTGTGGTTTTGCTGTGAAGACATGACACCTGGTCTTTGTTAAATAAGTAGCAATCTCACTATTCCTTTGGAGGACAGCTCTGCTGACCCTCCAAAAGTAGTAAGCATTCTGCAAGCTTTGAGACCAGCTACGTGAAATGGGTGTGTCCATAAGCATTCTCCATTCTGGAGTACCATGACCCAAAACCCTGTCATGCCTAGCCTTTGTACTGGGTACTTGGAAGAAGTGGTTTTGTGCCCCCTAAGTGATGTGCCTTCCTCCCCACTACAGGTAGGCACCAGTCTGCCTTGTGGGGACAGAAGCATGGGTATGGAAACTGAGTTCTTAATGTCTTGATGTCATTTCCTAGTGCATCTAGCTTTGTATCAATACCTGATCATGATTGATTAGGGATTGATGTTTTCAACAAAAGGCATTGATTAATATTAGTGGAGTTCATTAGAAACATGATCATACATCCACACATGTATTGTACTTAGGCATGCAATATACTGTGCAGTGCAATGAGCTATGGGGCAGTGATTATTAAGCAGCATAGGATCTTTCTTCCAAATTGTATGCTTTTGTTTATTATTTCTGGGACCGCAGTTCTCTTTCCTCAGTCTGATTCATTCTGAGTCATACAAAACCTCATTGAAATGGGGTGCACAGCAGCAAGGGCTGTCAAGCTAGTTCTGCACCATTAGGTAATTGTTTGAGTCTTTTCTAGTGGAGATGTCTGTTATGCAAGCAGTACAAAAAGACTAGGAGAATGTGGGCGTCTGGTGGGAGGATTTGAAGTTAGAGGAAAAGTACCTATTAGAAAAACTAAAGCTTGAGCTTGCTTATTAATAACTTGCCAATATTTCCATTTTAAAATATTTGTACAGTGTAATTCCAGGTATGGAAATGATTGCTTACATGTAAAACTAATCCTCTTTAATACAGTGAAAAAGGACTGTGAAGAGTCATATATTTGGGGGTAGATTTGGGGCGCAGTTCTTATATTGGGTCAGTTCTTGTGACAAACATTAGTGGAATTATATATTAAAATGTGTCTCAGAAATCAGAATGTGAGATACTTGGTGATTTTATTGGTTAACTCATCAGTTTTACTGATAACAGCACAGCAACTTCTATCCATTGTTCTCGTCCTTCAGTCTCATTGGGTAAGAAGTTTAGTAGGGCGTATTCTGATTTACAAACAAGGTTATCTCCTTGTGTGAAAGGTAGAATTTGAAGCAGATAGCACTACAATAAATATATTTTAAATTAATTTTCTCATCTACTGACTAAAATTCAAAAGCTGTTTACTCAGAAACAGGCAGCCTACTCCTCCGCTGCTTGGAGAGATATCAGATTAAAGAAGACAGCCACCAAGGATAGCACATTAGAAATGACATCTATAGTCACAAAGGGAGGTATTTATACAAGGATGAGGCACTTCCCTCCCCCATATTGTGAGCAAGTTAAGAAGGATCATTATAGCGGAAAAATCACCTGCTCCCTCATCTCACTGATGGGAGAAGAAGAAAATGTCTGGATAGTTGATTTGGAGTAAGAAGTAGAGGAAACAGAATGGCTGACATGAAATATGCTTTATTTTTAAAGCATTGATTGAAGTACAGTTAATTTGATTTGCTTTGATAGCAGCTGGGACTTAGGTTAGGTAGAAACATGAACAGAACTGCCTGAAAAGGAAGAAGGGGAAAATTACTGTATTAGTGCAAAAAAGCCAGGACACTATTAATGAAAATATTTAAAATAAAAGAAAATTGTATGGATTTTCCTTTTTTTTGAAGTAGAGTACTATACAACAATAAAATGTGTAAGCCTGTTGTTTTAGACGTAATGCATCTCTTATTTATTTTAAATCCTTTTTTTGCTTTGAGATACTTTCCATGGCTATGAATTATGAAAGTGTCTTTTTTAACTGTGTAGCTTTCAGTAAAATCCATTATCAGTTCTTTGTTTGGATTCAGTTCACATTGTCTTCTCATAGGCTATAAAGAGACTCAATCTGTTCCAGAACAGTAATCACAATCCATTAAACTCTGTTCCCTGTAGTCTTTGTTCCCAGCTACATGTGATTGCATGTGAGTGGAAAGGAAAAAAATCTTTCAGCAGCCTTACAAAATTGTCATGAAGATTTATCAGTCCAGGCAAAACATATACTTGCCTTCCCTTTAGAGTGATAATAATTTACCTGGAAAATTTAAATGTGTTTCGCTTGCCCTATTAAAAAACAGCATCCCATGATCCTCCGTTCAATCCCACCCTGGAGGAGTGTGATTCAGATACAAAATTGTATCTCTAAAGAAGTATTCCTGTATTAACTCATTACTGTTCTTGATCACTAACTTAATCTACATGGCATGAAAAGAAACCAGGAACAAAAAAAGCTTTTCATGTTAACTTCAGAGGTAATGGAGCTCATGATCTAAAAGGCTGTCTCTGTAGATAGAAGGTCTGATATTTTTTTCTGCCACATCAAACCTGTTTTGAACTGCTTTAACTCCATCGATTTCAGAGAGGAAGATTATAAATATGGTGTAAAATCGTAAGGCTATTGACAGATTTAAGTTAAATAATAAATACAGTAATACAGGATGTTAGATTAAAGCTGCAGCACTATGTGGTTTTCAATGTGTTTTCAGTGTAGAGAGGTGAAGAGCCTCTAAAATGAGGCTCAGCTGAGCAGCCCGTCTGATCACAGCAGTTGAGAGAGCTGCAGAAGTAGATTTCTAGTGTTTTTCTATGCTATTTCTACTGTTAATGGTATTCTTAGAGTAGTGGAGTATACTGTGGAGAGCTTCAGGGAAGCTAAGGTATTTTGCTTTTTATTTAGCTATGTAAGATGAATCTGCTCAAGTGAAGAATACTGAAGGAATGAGTTTCATCAGAAATCAGCATTTTAGCCCCAGCTGATTCATATCTTTGACTTGAAATGAGCAAGTTGGTTTGTTTTCAGTGGGCTACTCACATACAGTCCAAATCTTTAATTGTTTTGCTATAACAATACCAATGCCTCTGCATTTTAGATTCAAGCCTAACAGTTTCAGTGCTATAACCAGCTCCAGACCTTGTACAGTGTAGTTTGAGTTCTTTGGTCTTTTGCATAGACTGCCTTTTCCACAGCCCTCTGGATGGTAAATTCAAGCAGTGTTGTTAGAACCAGCTTTAATTTCTTCTCTTAGTCTTAAAAAGAAAATGCTTATGTTTTAATGGAAAAATGATTGCAGCAAATTTCAAGAGTGGGCTCTGATGCTGAATGGTAAGATGCTGCTGATCAGGAGAGTACCCTGGGCATCTTTTCTGACGTTATTCTTCTGGGATTCATAGAAGTATAACCCATTAATTTCAAGGCACCAGAGAGCCTCTGGAATTAGTGTCGCAGTCTCTCTTGAGAAGTATTGGCTATTACAGAATGAAAAGGGCTTCTAAAGGTAATATATGGGGACTTGCCATAGGTATTTCTCTTTTTATAAAAAAAAAGTACAATCAAACTGCAGTATTTACCCATTCTTTTTTTCTCAAAATAAATGCTTTACTGGTGTTTTGTAAAAAGAATGAATACCTGCCAGCAAGCTATTATTCCTGAGGAACCATACAAAAACATGTGGTGTGTATGAATGGAGGAAAGAAAGAGATTTGGTGAGAAATATATTTCTATCTTCTGTATTTGCTTCTTTATAACAAAAGAGAAAAGTCTACTTTATGAAAATATTTTGACAGGGTCCTTTTAAATGTGAGCTTTGATTTCAAGCATTTAATCTGCAGCACGGTTTGACTGTGAAACAGACGTAGTAATTATCTGGCCTGTTCTTCCTATTTTGTGTAACAAATTTGTTTAATTGGAAGTT